ACATCATTATAGCGATTTTGAGCATACGTACTACCCTTTTGAAATAAAATTACAAAAATGCTACAAACATAAAAACTTGGCATAAACATTAAAGGTAAGATTACATACAAGTACATTAAAGCTTCTATTACTAAGTACTAGCACTAATAACATTTAATTTCAAACTGTAATATCAGTGACTAAAATGTCATATCTAAGTTATTCAGCTCAACTTTCTTAAAAGAATCTTCTTTTAGAAGAACTGAAGCAAAAGCCGTTTTATCATAATATTGATGAAACAGTGTCAATCGTTATTGCGCTGTCTGTCTCCTTCAGTGAAATTATTAATACGAATAACATCGCCTACACACTCAACGTTTATCAAAGCTATTCACATTTGCCAAAAGCAACGTGCTCGCCGAAAACAAATAAAGTTTTAGTGGCACGTGACGAATCCGATATGGGATTTATGTGATATTGTTATTATTCGTGTTCACAAGATTAAACAATTAAAAATAATTTATTCCTTGTTTGTCAACCGTTTTCTTCTTGATTTTTTTTTGTTTATTACCATAATTTAAACGCGACAATCGCATACCAATTTTTAATAATATATTATTGTGGGATTTTATATTCAGTTTCCTAAGAAATCTTTAGAGGTGTTCAGTACATGGAAAATATTTTCGAAAATAGTCAAACACGTTAGAACAACCAAGGTGAGGTGAGGTTCATGGTTGAACAACCAAGTATGTTGTGAATAAAATGTCTGTAAAATTAGATTGTACAATGTACATCGTGGTAAACAGAAACACTTGCTGATTTACTTTTCCCAACAATTATCAAAGATGAGAAGTTCGATGAGCTCGTGGCTAAGTGGTAACAGTGGCTAAGTGGTTAACACATTGTGTTCTGTTTATCTAGTCGTTATCGGTATCACGGTAGTTGGTTGTTGTAAATAGTTTACACCAAACCAAACCAATCTGAGTTGTACGTTATGTTATGCGATACTGATACTAGCACGCGTGACGGAGTTATTGTTACGACTGAATAAAATAATTAAGTATAAAAGAGACTAAATTCGCTGTATGAGCATTATTGGCTCGTACACATTGCAAAGCAATCCTAGCCAAGTTAGTTAATGGATAGTGACCATTCTTAACACGATGAGACCCCTCCGTGCCTCTGAGAGCACGCTAAGCCATACATCTGTGGTAATCGTTACGGGTAGAACTTCGATATTGCCTAATACTTGGATTGTGGAGGTCTGATGGCAGTCACTCCACGTAAAAAAATCAATGATTGATCTTTGATTGATTGATTTGATCAGAAGGGCAATTATAACGTAAAAACTGTCATACGAAAAAACATTTTAGTTACCAAATTTGCCAACTAATTCATCAATCATTAACAGTCTATTATATCCAAATGCAACACCTTGATCTTGTACATTTTCTACGCAAATTAGAATGTAAAAACGATCTAACAAATTCCCTATTAGGCCTCGTGCCGACTTCGTTGAGTATAAGAAATCCCATTAAAGAAGCGAAATATGTTATATTTATATCGTTATTTGCTCCCAGCTCCAGGAAATGAGCCCGTGTGCTGTATTATATTTAATACAAGCACTTTCATATCAGGCCTAATATTGTGTTTCCTATCCTAACCATAAATATAAACGAGGTGTGTGCATATTTGAATTATTAAAGCAGAGGAAGTAAGGGAAGTAGCAATAATTAAGCCTATGTTAATTTATTTTTTACATACACCTACGTATCCCACAATAAAGATATCTCGGTAGATAAAGGCCCACGTGATTTTTTTCTATTCATAGCTTTATTATCATCTTCTTACCATTTTCTAAATTTATTTAGGGTCGGAGCAATGAGTATTCTTCTTCCACTTTCCTCTATCTCTCGTCATATCACTTCCAACGATAAGATTAAGTTCTAGTTACGACTGCACGGATGGCGTAGTGGTTGGCGCCACTTACTACTACGCTGAGTGTACAACACTTCGGTCCGGTCCGGTCCCCACATGGGACGACACTTTGTGTGATCTCTTGAAATTGTTGGTCTGAGTCTGGGCGTTATTTGTGTCCGTTTCATGTATGTTTGTAAAGTTTCCCGCGACACAGTATATATACCTAATGCGGGTGTTCGGTAAAAAATATCGTTTCTTTGTTCGTCCTCTAATCTTATGTCCATCAACTACCATAGTTTTTGCTAATATTCTTTTCTTTTTACCTTGTTGTTTTATTTTATTAATATGCTTTATGTAATATTTTATTCAAATTTAGTTTGAGCTTTCTTTAAAGAAAATAATATAATATAATATATAATAACAAACAAAAAATAAATTAAAATTAAATTTGAATGAATTTGATAGTTAAATTCTGAGCTTATTTTTTTTTCTATTCTATTTGAACCGTGGGACGGAAAAGAAAAATAAATAAATACCCATATTAAAAACCTATTTATTAAGCCTGTATCGTTACGAATCAAACCACAAACTGTAATCTAGAGTATTTTTAAACGTGACAGTGGTTAATTGTAAATATAATTCAATACCTCGTAATTTATGTAAATTTGAATTGATTGGTATTGTTTAAGCAATTGGTGTTTCTGGTGTCAACGTACATTTTCTGCTTATAAAATGCTAATAGATTCGATTCATGAAATCACTTCGATTTGTCATCGTAATTTATTATTTAGTGTTAGTGAAATAAAACCTTCAACAAATTATTTAGTAAAATCAAAAAGTGACAATTATAAACATAACATGTACAAAATGCATGTCTCGTCAGTTTATTGAATGCATTATCTGCAAATCGAAATGTCGTGTCGTCGAAGTCGTCAAATCGAATGTAAACCTAGTCATGCCTACACATCTATGGGAGCAGCTATCTAACCACTTCGTCATAAATTGATACCTTGTTAGTCAGCTAACAACATTCTATAGTAACCATTTCAATATTACATTCTTTTATTTCTTTATTAAAAAGAGTGACTTAGCCCTTGAAAGTTATGTATCGTAATAGCATGGGCAAATTATTTCAAATTTAGTTTGATAGGACCAAGCTCGTAAACTTGTTCATTTTTAAATTATGCTTTTTTTAATTATAATTTATAGGCTAAACAATAACTGTGTTCAAATTTTGGAACTTGTGGGTCTGCTAGGAGTGTTTCAAAATTTTGATGATCGGTGAGTCAGTCCTAGACAAAATGAAGAAACTTTGACTTGCAATAATTCTTAAACTACTGGTTCATTTTGCAAAAAAAATTGATTCTAATGTAATTCAGCTTAATACGCTTTTACGTATTATCTTTTCACGTATAGGTTAAAAAAACATTTCATCCAGCAGAGGATTCATCCAGTTTTTTTTTCTGAAGAGACCCGGATTTTCATTAACAGCCTTTGCTAGTTCATATGCCTCTCCTTAGAAAGGAGGTTTTGGTCTACTGTGAGTATAGTAGCTGGCCAGACGAATTGATATAGGGCTTGTTTCAAGTATTCCTTCTCTTTGCAGTGCTGTTATCCGGATTAACTAATATTAACACGAGTGAAACCGAAATAAAGGTTACGGTTAGGTTAATGAAGGGGTGTACCTCTACCTACTCTCTACACACACATGTATTTACATTGATCACAAAGTAGTACTTTTTACTGAAACTATACATTCAATAATAAATAAAATTAAGTATTTATTCAATATGGCGTTAGTTTTACAGTTTTTTTTTAAATTATTTATTTTCAATTCTGTGGTGGGTGTTACGTACTGAAAATATCTATCCTTTTTTTAATATTTCAGTTATAAATTAAACACACTCACATTCATTAATTTATTTATTTCCTGTCTTTTCTAATAAAATAACAGATACAATATATTACCAAGGCGAAACAGATTCAACTAATATCTATTTATTAATTTTAGCAAATCTACAACTATGCCACTTATTCTATTACATACAATAAATATAACACAATATTTATATCTTTATCTTATTATTATTTAAAATATTACACAAAATATCCCTTAAGACTAGTCAGGAAATTATTTATGTTATTTTTGAACAAATGTTAATGTTAAAAATAAAATAATTACAAGTCCGGTTTATTACAAAGCATTTTTTTTTGATTTACAATTTTTTTTTCGTCGACAGGATATCACAGCTATTAACGTTAATCTATTTACAATATATTCTTATTGTTATGGTTGTGTTAATGTAAGTAAGGTGTTTTCGATTGTTATAGGGCACATGAAATGTTAAAATGTCTAAATTTTGGTGTAAAGCTAGTTAAATCTAGTGGCAAACGATTCTGGATTATTTACATTTAAACAATTTAAAAACATCAAATACCAGAAATGTTTAATTATAATTATTATGTTACAAATAACTTCATTTAAAAATGCAATTTCATTGATTAATTTACAAATAAAAACATTATTAATCATTTACAATAATTCAGATTATTCCATACAACATAGATGGTCTTTAGGAAAATCTTAAAAGAAAAGTTTACATCAGTATGCCAAGTTTCTCGATAGATGGCGCTATCTTGGAATAAATAATTTTAGAAGTCATTACGCAGTTGAACAAGCTGAGATGCCATATAACAATACATCATAATATTTTGATATCTCCTATCGAAAGTATGTTTGATGATAATCTTGAAATATATCATTTTTGAATCATGTAGATACAGTCTATTTAAAAATTTATCGTTATGCATGGATATGCCAATCACATAAGGTCATCCAGAGTTGTACGAAGCGGTTTTAGAACTAAAAACACTGACACTTGGACTGTAAATAATGCATTAATATGTGCATATTAGTCGATAGTGACATAGAACTCGATGCTAATTATATAAAATCAACTTTAGGCGAATATTCCTAGGTATTTAATCATATTGTAATAACAAAAGTCGCAATAACGTAAAATAAGATATTTCAAAATCATTCTCAATGCATAATTTTTAAAATTAACTCTCAAAATGGACCGACCATTTTGAGGACTTATTCAATTCCTGGTCAACATAGGGTTTATCATGATGTTTGCGAGTGCGTTTCGTCGCTTTCGCCAAGCGCCAGCACCTTGCGCATGGTACTGCAATTGACGGTACCAGGTACGCGTTCGTGTATTCTCCTCCGCCTGCATAGAGAAATCGTTTTTTTAATGCTAGTGTAATTTTATTTGTCTGTTATTTTTTACCACTGTACCAATTAATAATTATTTAACTTCTTTGTGATGTTTAATAAATCATAATTTTTCCTTACCTTAAAAATATATGAATCTTTAGTAGTAATTTCATGAACTTCAAAGAAATGCTCAGGTTCATGGTCTGCGGCTACCACGCAGCGGTCTAGGAACAGCGGCTCCCTTTGCAAGGTGTATCTTCCTGCCTTTTCCCGCACAAGAAGAAGAGCTGCCTCTCTCACTCCGCTTCGTGCAAACAGTGCCTCTCCTTCTTTTTCCCGTGCCTCTCTGTCCCTGGCTTCTCTGGTTTCTCGAATCTCGTTCGTTTTATGTGTGATCGTTGGCTGAAATGTGATATATACATATATTAGATTTTTGCAACCTTAAAATGTTAAAAAGCACAAAAATGCAAATATTACCAACAATGTTAATTTTAATAAAAAAAGATAATAAATTCTCTTTTTCAATCATCTTTTTGAAGAAACAAAGGTTTAAAAATAAAAGGAAGATATTTTGTGCCCAACTTAAGTACCTAATTATCAAAAAGATAGGCAAGCACATGATGGTTCTGTAACACACTGCCTACACACAACCCTGGCTCTCAAATAAAAGGTCACCGTAGTGTACCAAATTAATAATCCCAAATCAACACATGTAAGTATCCATTGACCTTACGTAATCATGTATTGTTATATGTGTAGTGTGAGGTTGCTTCACATCTACTCGATCGTCACGGTGACCGCGTTTGGTGTTATGATTGTCCCGCACTGAAATCTTCACCAATCGCAACGTCAAACGCGCTCGACCTCGAGAGCGAGTTGATGGGAGATAAACTCACACTAGGCACTCTGTAGGTATCGTACACGGACGTGATAGTGACTGAGGCGTTATGCTATCCATGTGCTCACATTAAAGAAAGAAGAAAATCAACCAGATTATCACTGTTCGAGAACATCAAGGTTCCAGTACTAAATATCTTTCTGAAAGTTGAATTTTTTAGTTTACAATATCTTGACAAAATTAGGTTTATTATTTCAGAACAGCCATGCGTTTTCCATCTCGTTTTTATTCAATTTTAATAAAAGAAATACCCGAATCCAAACATTCTGGCGACTAAGTAAACTTTAAAACCATAGAAGCCAACGAAATTTGAGTGGACCTCACCTTTCCATTAGTTACCAAAAGAGCGTTGATTGGCGTCAACTTGATGGTGCGTCCTTTTCGCCAATTGTTGTCATTGGGCTGAGTGAACAGCAGCTTACCCTCCATTGCGAACCTTAAAACAAATACATAGAGCTGTAATTTGACTAACATCTATTATTAAACTATATTCTATTATTGGGTGGGTATTTTGATTTGATCGTTTAGTGTTCCTTTTAATTCAGTAGAAAACACTTTGATGGTCTTCAAAAATAATAATATAAAAAATTATAAGACCCTGTCCTTGCAATAACAATAAAAAGTTAAACATTTCAAGTAAGTAATTGTTCTTTCTCGAAACATTATGAAACACGTCACGGTAATGTTACTCCTCAACAAAGAAAAAGCATTAATCGGAATAGAGTAGCTATAAAACAGGACGTTGAAGTTCTAATTAAAGAAGTTGGAGAAGAATACTAGTCCCTACCATTTGTATTTGTTTTACTATTATAACCTTAATATATAGTATCTCTAGACTCACATGTGCAACCTATTTAAAAAAAAGAAAGATTAAAACTCCTTGTTTACCATATTATACTGTAAACAATAAAATACCTAATATGCCGTATATAAATAATTATATCACTTAGTGACTATGAAGAAGTCTACAAAACTAAAACTAAAACTATACCTACCTATAAACGCAGTAAAGTTTAGCCTCGGCTGCCGTAGTTGTACATGCATTTATTGCTAAATCTGGTCTGGACAAACTATAAGTACCGCCAACTCAAGTCGTAAGTGAACAATGCAAGCTCCATTAAACTACGTTCAGTACTTTGTAAGTTGTTCACAATAAAGTTTAAAAAATATTGCTTTGGAAAAGTGACTTTTAATTACCCCGGTAATTATATTTTCTATTACATGGAGAAATTAAATTTCGTATTAATCTCTTTGAAAGCAAATAATGGATTTGTTAGATTAAGATTATTTAAGTAACGACAATGTTCTAACCTCTTCTGAATGCAACAATATTTGGTATTTTCTCATAATCCATCAATCCTCATGTGAATCGCGAAATCGTTTTTCCTAACATATATTTTAGATCACATAAAAGACCAGGTTTGTGTGGCTTAAAAAAACCTTCCAATAATCCACTCGGCAAACGTTTACCTATCGTAAACTGTCAGCTTTAATTTTGAATCCTTGACGCCGGAAACCGTTAACTTTTATCGTCTTATAACATATTTTTAAACTAACGTTATAGCACAATGACTTAAAAACGTTATATCCTTTTTACAAGTATAATTACTTGTATTTGTGTAGGGTCTCAAGTCGTAAAAAGCCCTGTTGAATGGCTCTTGCCGCTGTTACCGCCACTAAAGCGGCGATTATCACTTTTATGGTTTAAGTAATAGGAATCAAGAGGTGATCATAGAAAGTATAAAAGATTTTCACTCAAAATTATTATTTTCATTTGTGACTTATGAAGGCTCTTGACTCTAAGGTTAGTGTTTGAAAATTGAAAGATTTTATGTGTCATATCATGACGGTTTAAAACAATATTACTTTTAAAAACCTTAACCACCAACGAAATATCCGCTGTGCGAAGAATCAAAAAAGATATTGAGAAATAAATCTTAACGGTTCTTTTTATTGTTAATAAGTATTTCGTTTACTTATAATATATCAAAGAGAGTAAGTTACAATGTTTGTAAAATATGATTGTTATCATTAAATAATCTTTAAAATGTTATGTAAGTTTACAACTTAGACCATTAAGTGGACCTGCGTTCCACAGTGCTTTTACTAATAGGAACATTTTTACCATCTACCAATAAAACAGAACACGATGAGGCTTCAATTCACCGAAATATTTGAAATCACATAAATGATAATGTTGATCTTTGTTAAAAAGGATCTCCATAATAATTTACTAAAGCAATTTGATTGAGATATTTGCAAATTTATACGTGTAGATAAGATTTCTAAAGACTGTGCCGGAAACATAATCAATATATTTGCACCAAACAGGAAATATAAAGTCAATTGAATATAAGTCAACAAGAAGCCCACCTGGCATCATCGTGATTCCAATCAAGAATATCAACAGCCATTTTCCTTAATTTTATATCTGCGACGTGAAGATCATGAGCTGTTCTTCTCGCTGCAGCTAATCTTCGCCACAGTGGCACATCTCTTGCAGCCGCTGCGGCAGCTGCCGCAGCTGCATTTATTTCTTCAAGTCTTGATTCCACACAGCGTTGAGCAGCTTTAACATCTTCACGTTCAGCCGCACATGCGGCAGTTGCTCGATACAGCCGGGAAAGAAGGAGTGGATATTTTGTCACGCGTTGTACTGGCACCTGTATTTATATTATACATAAAAGTGATAAAGATTTAATTATTTCAAACTCATTGTTAGCTGAATTCAACATTTTTCCTCATACCAAGCTAATATTAACATTTTTAATTCTAAATATAGTTATAATTTTCAATAAAAAATTTGTAAAATATATAATGTTAGAAGAGGCCATTTTGATATTCACAGGAGATACTATTTTTATATTTACTTGTTTCAAGTAAATCAAAATCATTATCAAAATCTTGTACAATTATAATTGCTTTAAATTTAGAGTTGCAAATCCACCATAATGATTTACGTTACGTTACGTTTAACTAGAAGATAGTAAATATAGTTTAAAGTTCTCTCAAATTACCATGAGAAATGAGTTTAAATTCATTCTCCTCAAGACGGCGTTTTCCATCTGCGAGACGCGTAAGAATATCCTCAGGAGTTCCTTCTCCTTCTCGAGACCAGCCAATAGGAGGGCGGCACCAGCTTGCTTTACGCAGTATGACTGGAATGCCGTGAGCATGCCTGAACACTCTAGCAAAATCTTTCCAACGTTTACAGTCAACAAATCCTGTTAAAAATAAAATGGAATTAACAAAAATAACTCAAAATAGCAACATATCCACTTGTTCATATTAGGTACAAGTAAAAGTTAAATATAGGAGAATGTGTATAAAGGGTAATTATATACTTTAACTTGTTACGTAATTAAAATTAATTTATAATACCTCATCTCCTTGCTCCACAGCGATTTCAAGGCCATCCCTTAACTTTTCTGACATAACTTGATTGTTTTCAATAAGTTCCTCAACGTTTAAGAAAATTGCACTAAGCTGTTCTTGAGTCAGTAGACCAGCTACCAGCATTGGTTTGTAAAATTCTTCTAGTATGATTTGAAGATCTCGACCATATTTTTCTTCTGTCTCTACTATTTCCGTAATAACTTCTTTCCGCTCTGCTCTTTTTTTAGCACACTTTCTGCATACTAACGGAACATATATTGAACCTAAAATAAAAAGATTTATATAAAAATAATATCCATATGGCATGAAAAAATATAATTTTGATGATTTTTAAGATAAAAAATTAAGTAGGTACCTTGTTCGGTTATTTGTGTTTCGACAGCAGAGTCACAGTCTTCACAAAGGTGTATAGGATTGTCCTTATCAGTCACTATACTACAAGGAAATGTTTTACCTTGAAGTCTACTTCTAGATGACTTACTAGTCTCTGAACCAACTCCAGAATCGTTTCTCTCAATTTCTGTGGAAGTCTTTTTACATACTCCAGCTTTTTCTAATGTGTCATGATTTATTGTTAGTGAGTTATCCTCGCTAGAGTCAGAAGCGTTTGATATCTGGCTCGTATTACTGCCAAGATGGGTGTGTATTCTTTCGTTGTGATTAGGTGTTTTACTTTTTATATCCTCTGTCATTGTTGAGGACTCATTGTGAGTATCGTAGTTAGTAATGTAAGTTTCTTCATCATCAATACCTCTTTCTTTGGCGTCGACCAAATACGATAAAATATCGTACTTAGACGCACCCTCAAATATTGATCTTGATCCACTGCGTTTTTCGTCGTCTAAAATTAAAAGAGAATTTGGTGGTGGGTTGACAGGTAATGGTGGTGGCATATCACCTATTTCTTCATAAATAGGATCACTATTTAACCGAATTGATTCGTAATGATGATCATCATCAGTATTGTTCGCAATCTCGATTTCACATAACGCTGCATCAACTAGCATTTGGTAAAATTTTGATCTCGTTGAATTCGTATCATCTTCAGTAGATAATTCACTTGCCGAAGCATTATAGCAATCCGACATTGGTTCAAGATCAGAAAAAACTCCCATAGCACCACTCTCATACTCCATACTTTCATAGGGAGCAGAGCAGCTATTATCTTCATTATCTAAGCATATAGGTAAATCTATTTCTGTCTGCTTTTTTAAGTCATCTGTTTTGGCACTGTTCCCATTCTTTGGTTTTATTTTTTCTTTGTTATCACCTTCTTTATCACTCTCTTCTTTTAAATTTTTTAAAGAACTTTCTATAAGTTTCTCAATTGTGATGCCCTCAGTTTCTTCTGAATTTTTGGTTTCTTGGAGTTTAATTAAAGAATTTTCTATAAGCTTTTTAACCAAATCTGAATCTAAACCTTCCGCCAAATGAGCAAAGAATGGATCATCAAATAGTTTTGTCACGAAGTTACCGTTACCCTGTTGATAATTTTCGGGTTGCTGATCATCATAGTCACTCGTAGTATCATTCTGTTTACCACAAACATGGGGAATCAAATTTCTTTTCACAGCTTCTACAGGATCGTTTAATATGGAACATAAATCGTTAGGTAACTTTATCTCTCTTGAATCTTTTGCTGTACCAGTGTAGTACTCCTCGTAAGTATTCGCTTCAAAATTGCCTTCGCTATGTTGTGAAAGTACAGCACCAATATAAATTTGACTCTTTGACTTTTTCACTTCTTTTTGCGGAGTCCCGACACTTATTGTGACGGTAGTACCAGTCTGGTAAGTATTGCACATATTTGCAGAGTCATCATTTACAACAACTGAAGATAAGTAAATAGGTGTGCTTGTGCTTGCATTCATTGTTGAATAACATTCATTACCATTGATTTGAATGGAAGTTTTTCTAGGCTCGTTTTCTGACGACCTCAAAACACCAGATTGCATTTTTGGCTCATCGGTATCAGAATCAAATTGCTTAACCCTCAGTATAGTTTTTTGTTCATAGTCGTTTGCATCTGACCATTCATCACTAGTGGAGCTGGTGGAATTATTGCGAATAAACCGTGTTTTTACATAATTATGTTTTTTTGACTTCATTCGCTCCTTTGATCTCATTCTAGGAGGTGGTTCAGGTGACTCGGATATTCCACGACGTAGATTACTTAAAATTCTTCTTGTAATATCACTACTATCGCTGAGATTCGCTGTTTCGACATTTTCATTACCCTTGTGCTTTGACTGATCTTCGTTTGTTGCTTTTTGCGTCTGATCAGACACAAACTGATTCTGTTTATAAGTCTCGTTTTCAGTCACTGAAGTTAAGAAGACTTGACTGGTGTGGCAGTGCTTACTTTTTGGTCGCAAAGCCATGGTGTCCAGGAACTTTGGAGACTCTACTAGCAACGTTGTTGGGATACGTTCTGATTCTGATCGACGAAGAACTGTAATTTTAGGGATGTTGTTGTCTGAAAGTAATAAATATTAAGTTTAATTAAGAATGTAAAACTTTTACGACCTGTTTGTTACAAAAATGTTGCCATACATCTGAATTCAAGAACAAGAAATTGATTTTAAAGACGAATATAGCAGACTTTTATTACATTATAGGCACCCATTCCGAAGGACTTTTTTATTTGTGAGTTCTACTAATGAGTAAGGTTAAAAAAAATACAAAAAGCAGGTAAGCATACTACTACAGGTTACTGTTGGTGACAAATACAGTAGCATATATATTAATGACATAAGTAGTAGTAAAGGGGTGTCTATGTATACTGTGGTATATCTGCTTGCCCAATTAGTTACAAATAAATTACCTTCTTTGTTAATACTATTTACTACTTCAACAGTAGTTTTTTGTTGAATAGTTTCCAATGTTGTCAATTTGATTTCTTCAGTTACAACTTCAATCGCATTTGTTTGTTCTTTATCACATGATTCATTGTGATTCTCTTTTGACTGACTTAAAAGTTCTTCTAAATTTTCACTAGATTCATCCAAACTTCGGCTCACAATATCTCCTTCAGCTATTACATCTTCTTCAGTTTCAATTACAATTTCATCTGGGTTTTCTTTTATCGTATTCTGGTCGAGATCAAACTCTGCAGTATAAATTACTTTAGTTTCTTCATTTTCTACCAAAAATTGCACACGTTTTCTTTGTAATAAATTGTTGTGCATGACCCCACTCTTTTCTTTAGGCTTAGGAAGATAGAATAGAGATGAATTTACTCGTTTGTGTTCAAAAAACTCATCTGGAGTGTCAACTTTTAAATTAGAGTCGTTTAAGTCATAGTTTCTGGGCTTTTTTAGAATAGATTTTATAGTATCAGTTTTTTTGTGCTTCGAGTTACGAGCATTATCGTTAACGGATTTCCTATTTGAACTTCTCTCTGACAAGCGCTGATTATCACTTTCGCTATCATCATCTAATTTGATATTTCTTATCCTTCTTGGTGGTCTTTTTGGTGAAACATTTTTTTGTTTAACCCGATTTGACGTAGTTATACTTAAAACTTTTTTACTCGTATTTTTAGCGACAGTGGTGGATTTTTTATTTTCGTTCTTAATATTTGGCAAAGATAACGTCGAAGATATTTCTTGAGGTTTTAGATCAAACGGTTTGAGATCATAGTCAACAGGGTCGTAGATCGGTGCGTCTTCCATAGACTTAGACTCATCAGATACTCTTATTCTTTGCCCACTGATCGCCTTTACACTTGAATCTATCTTGGTTTTACTGGAAGACTTCAAGTTATTAATTTTCATAGATTCCGTAAACACATTTCCAAAATCATCATCAAAATCAATTTCAACTGAAGATTTTGTGTTTCCGTTAGATTTAATCAAGTCATAAGGATTAATATCACACGACAATATTGACTTTTTTGATTCACTGGAGTTATTAGCATCCTCTTCAACCCATATTTCGTTTACCCGACTAACAGACTTGCTTCTATTTTTCTGAAGTGTTTCTGGGCTTGGTTTTTTGGTTTTCAATCTACATGGACTAATACTTTTCGCTCGTAATCTAGTTGTTGAAAATTGACTTCCTATACGAGCTTCCTGTGGAGGTGCTAACCTACTCCTTCTCATTAAATCATATGGATCGGTATCACCATTGGGTTTAAGTATAGTTGGACGCGCCTTTGAACCTGGGACTCTAACCGTTCCGGATCTTAGTAACCCACTATCTCGACTTAAGTGAGGACCTCTAACTGTACCCCCAACTAATAATTGTGGGCTTTCCGCTATAGTTAATGGCAAACGAGATCCCTTGCATTTCTTACAAATACTGACTTTGGTTGAGCTGGTTTTTTTTGTACCGTTCAGGTACTCTGGACAGGAACATAGTATGACAGCATAGTTATGAGGTGTGGGTTTTTGAGGTGTACTTATTAGAACAGGACCAGAAACCTCAGGATAAGCGGAAAAAACGCTGGATCGTATAGGTGGGGTCTGGGTTCGTACGGACCCGTATAACCAGGTCTCAGCATATTTCATTGATTTGGACAACGCTGATCCTCCTGGCCCACTTATAGTTCCGTACATGTACGGGCTTTCTGGAGATTTTTCTGATGTTTTCGAGCTTCCGGCAGTATTTAGTTTTAACTTCGATGACCATTTCTTCGGCCGTGTACTCTCTGGTGAATCATATATCTGGAACAAATATTGTTAGTTGTTAGTTATAATACAAAAAGTAAATCAACTCAAAATTATAGGAAATCAAATTTGTTTATAACTTTACCTATTTTTATACAAGCAGAAATAGTATAGATATATATTTTACTCGTTAATGAGTACTTTACATTTTGGAAAACACGTACAGGTAATAGAAGAACCGTTTTAAAATCGTCGAAGTCGTACCAAAGACAAATAAAAAAAAATGTTCCAAAGAGGATTATTATGTCAAAACGAATGAGTACCTTAATTAGAAGCGGACATATTAAGATAAAAGAATGTAAAAAAAATGTATATAAAGGAAATGTACAGGCGAAAATCGTGTTTGAATTTTACTTGAGATGAGTGAATATCGTTAATTTCTAAATGCTTTATTAATAAGATCTTAAAATTTTTAAACCTTTAAATAATTTGTTTTATTTATCATAATTATGAATAATAACTATGTAGATCAAAATTATACATAGCAGTTTATAGAAAACCTATACAGTTTTTAATTAACGTTTAGTTACGTCGCTAACATTATTATTAAATAAGATTTCAACTTCATCTTTTAATGGCTTTGTGGTACATGGACCTTTCTACAGTCAACGCACCGGATGCTCTTTCGTCGCTGATAGAGCAATAATCATCGGACTAGTTGAATAGCAGCAAAACATTTAAATAATTGTTATTTTTGAGCACGAAAACTGAAAATATAGATAAGGGGCAGCTTCGTGCTATTCAGAATTTGCGAGAACTTTCAATTTCATAAAGTCAATTTGGCAGACATTATTGTTTGACAAATTGACTTTTAAATTTAAAAACCATTGTTGATTATGAAGTGTATGTAGTCTGCTTTAATCAAATATAATCTACATTTATTTATTATGATGAATCCTTTTGTAGCATTTACTTCAGGACAAAATAAGATTAATTACACACACATATTATTACATAAAATGTAATTTTAGAATATACAACATTAGAATAGAATAGAATATTATTTATTTCATAAAGCACAGCATACAAAAACAAAACAAAAGTTTAGGAACAACATACACAAAGAAACTAAAAATCAAGTAAGGTTTGATAAACACGTTAACAAGGCAACATTTTCAATATGTCAATACATTGACGTGTCATGTATCCAATTACGGGTCTTTGAAACGTTACTTATAATAACTATTATCTTACCAACTAATACTTATACCAACTAATAACTTATCAAATAATACTTATCAACCTATGTACCAGAAAAACCTTTAATGTTACTGAGGGTTGTACGCCGTGTTTCAGAAAAGACTCTCCGTGGACACTGTGGTAGATAGAGGCCACCTCAATACTGAATTTCAGTTTCTACCTTTGTTGTCGCCCTGATACCGACAGCCGCAATTGCGTATGATATTGTAATATACAAATGGAAAGAGTTTCCACTTGTGGATCAAATTTAGTGGGGTAAGCGATCATTTTGAAATTAACCTACTACTGCATACTACAAATTCAATATTTCTAATCTAATTAGGTCCTGTCGTCTTCTATTGCAGGTCATTTACATATAGTCACTTTACATATACCTTTACAAATCAAAGAAAATACTCGTATGTCCACAGTATCATTGGCGCATCAATAGCCTGCAACATTTACGACACTAAACTTCCACCGCTAATGGGCCGGTTCGATTCCCGGGCCGGTCAAAATTTTATAGGGTTTTTAAGATAAAAAAATCGGCAGTTTTACTTCTGCCATGTGTAAATTGCACCCACACACACATTTATTTTTTATTTAAATGAGTTTTAAAAGTGTATATGGTTTTCAGGTTCTTAATTGGTGACGGTATAGAAATCCGGTATCGCATTGCCGCATACTTAAAACTGCCACGAAATGCAGCTGTTACCTACGCTTTTATGAAAAATGTTTACTAAATATGGTAAGAGGTCAGCACATAAGATGACTCGTAGATTTCAAGATTCATTTAAAATGTACCGCAGCTGCAAAAATTGTAAAAAAAATGCGAACAAAAAAGTCACAGTGTTACTTTAGTCTTATATTAAGACGTAAAAAGGAAATACTGTAATCTTTATACTAATAACAATAGGCCAACGCAGAGAGATCATTACAGAAATGTTATGACAACACTGAAAAATTGTTTTACTTTCCCCAACGAATAATATCGTAATGTACCTACTATTTGACGACCGAATGGCGTAGTGGTTTGTGTAACGGACTGCTATTCCAAAGGTCGCGGGTTCGATTCCCGCTCAAGTCAAACATTTGTGTGCATGAACATTTAATGTTTGATTTGGTCTGGGTGTTTCTATGTATAATAAGTATGTATTTACAAAAAAAAAGTATATATGTATTTATATCAGTTATCTAGTACCCATAGTACAAGCTCTGCTTAGTTTGGGACTAGATGGCGTTGTGTGAATGTGGAAGAATATTATTATTATTCTCTTTATTAAATTATATATACATATTAATTACATTTTTAAATATATTACAAAAGAAATAAAAATACATTTAAAAATATAAAAAATAGTAGACCACCGACATCGGGTACAGGTACCAAGACACCAGTGGTTAGGACTGCAAAGATAGGAACCTCCTCACTATACGAGCCGTGTCAAGGAGGACTGCCTTCTGTATCAGACCCTTGATCCAGCCGTCCAACGTGAGCCTCTTAAGGTGTTGGTCGAGGCTCTTGGCTATCAATCCGTGAGCAGATACGACTATCGGAACAATTATCACTGAATCGACATTCCACATATCGACAATCTCGTGAGATAAATCCAAATATTTTATTTGTTTTTCTTTTTCAACTTTCACGAGATTCTCGGCGATATCAACAATCATTGCGCGGCGCTCTAATCGATCTATCACTACAATATCAGGCTTATTAGCAACAATAGTCCTGTCTGTGATAATAGATCGATCCCAATACAACGTGGCCCGACCATTCTCGAGAACTGGGTCGGGCACATACCTGTAGTATGGCACCTCTAGATTCACAAGATGGTATTTAAGGGCAAGCTGTTGGTGTACGATCCTGGCTACTTCGTTGTGCCTGTGCAAATATTCACCGTTAGCAAGACGAGAACAACCAGAAATGATATGCCTGATTGATTCCCCAGGACGGTGGCATGCCCGACAGATGTCAACCGTACCATCTTTCAGGATATATTTCCGATAGTTATTCGTCATGATAACTTCGTCCATAATCGCACAAACAAAACCTTCAGTTTCTCCGAAGAGATCACCATACCGTAGCCAAGTCGTAGATGCTTTAAAGTCTATATCGGATCCGTTTAGGGCCCGATAAAACCGGCCATGGAGCTCTTTGCCCTTCCATACTTCCCTACGATCATTAGTACTAAATACTACAGGTTTGCGCCAATTCTCTTTAGCCAGAGCGAGCGGGGTGAATCCGATATCCACTGCAACTACATTGCGGTGCATTCCCACATCGGTATGTAGAAAATGATCCCTATTAATGTTTTAGATTATAATATTTATACAAATTAATATATTTTAATTAAAAAGAAATCGAAATCTGTGAGTATGTCAGAATTTTATTAATACACCTGTATATAAATGCGAAAATTTGGTACAGTTATTATTTATATAGTCAAGCTTAGAGCGGCTAAATAAATCTGTAGAAAATTTGTGACAGTAACTATCTGGAATAGCAAATAGTTTGCTTTTATCCCGGAATATTTAATCGACAAAATCGACATGAAATTGTTAAAAGCTATGTAGTCCTTTCAAAAATATGTTTAGAAATTAATGTGTTTCCAATAATATCTGTACAGTATCTGTACCCTGTACATGGTGACAAAAGTACAATGATACAGCTTGAGATTACGAGTAGGTTCCAGAAATAAAAATTGATGAGCATTCTGTCGCCAATAATAATAGCTAATATTACTAGTCTAGATATAGAATTCAATAGTACAAGTAACTATAGAATAGTCTTTATGAATTCTAAACCTTTCATCAACGGAGTTATCAGTCTCAATGTTCTAGCCAGGAGGAGCTAAGATAAACATCTGACATTCAGGAGTCCAAGTAATATTAATATTGATGCTTTTATAATTGCAATAATTATCTTACCCCAAAGTTTCTTCCTAGGAGGAATAAATATTGTACCTTTATCAAACTACTAGACGCAGCCAGAGATTCCACTCTTACATTATTGACATACCGAAAAGTTTATGATTTGAGTCCTTAAAGTGCATACCACTTTTTAAAAGATAATTATTGGAACGTTAAAAGGTAGAGTGAATAAATTTCTTTTGGATAGGCGTATACCACCCCTGTCTTTAATATCACTTTACATCAGGAGAATTGAAAGAAGAACGCCTATTCCATTACCCAATCAAAAAGCAATTGACAAATGATTATTCAGAAAACAAGAATAGGTACTACTTCTGCTATTATTTTGGCCACTGACCGAGTGTACCCTACAAAGAGCTAATTGAATGACAGGACAAAGCTTCCGTACATTTGACGAACATGTTTAGCTCCCAAACCAAATTGTCTCCTAATTACGAGACCCGAACTCAGACGACACGTACTTTGTTTGTCCACCCGGGAGAATGTCCGGGACAGTTTGATTAAGGCTACCCTTACTGCCCTTAACTTTTGATTTGTCAATAAAAGTAGTTTTACTAAAATTTAATTAATAATAAATAATTATCAATAAAGGTATTGAATAATTTGCTGAAATATTTTTTAGGGAAAACCTGATAATTGCGTGAAAATCTGTGTCTTGGTTTTGTTACCAGTTTCTTTTCATAAGCATGTATTTGACAAGATATATTCCTAGTGCGAGAGTTCCTTTAAAGAAAATAAAACTTTACATTACTTGCTATTTATCGTATTTCAATAGGTAAAAATGTTTAATATTAAACAAAAACAATCGTAATTATTTAGCGATAGGTTATTTTTAGCTGTCGCCATAATACATTAAAATAAAAAGTCAGTTATTTGACTCTAAA